TGATGATATAACATATATTACACACTGTTACATATGTGATGATATAACATATATTATACAGTTACCATGGTTCTTGTTAAATGTGATGATATAACATATATTATACACTGTTACAGTTCTTGTTAAATGTGATGATATAACATATATTATACACAGTTACCATGGTTCTTGTTAAATGTGATGATATAACATATATTATACACAGTTACCATGTTCTTGTTAAATGTGAATATAACATATATTATACACAGTTACCATGAAATGATATAACATATATTCTTGTTAAATGTGATGATATAACATATATCATACACTGTTACAGATGTTCTTGTTAAATGTGATGATATAACATATATTATAAACAGTTACCATGGTTCTTGTTAAATGTGATGATATAACATATATTATACACAGTTACAGAGGTTCTTGTTAAATGTGATGATATAACATATATTATACACTGTTAAATGTGATGATATAACATATATTATACACCGTTACAGACGTTCTTGTTCAATGTGATGATATAACATATATTATACACTGTTACAGAGGTTCTTGTTAAATGTGATGATATAACATATATTATACACAGTTACCATGGTTCTTGTAAATGTGATGATATAACATATATTATACACAGTTACCATGGTTCTTGTTAAATGTGATGATATAACATATATTATACACTGTTACAGACGTTCTTGTTAAATGTGATGATATAACATATATTATACACAGTTACCATGGTTCTTGTTAAATGTGATGATATAACATATATTATACACAGTTACCATGGTTCTTGTTAAATGTGATGATATAACATATATTATAAACAGTTACCATGGTTCTTGTTAAATGTGATGATATAACATATATTATACACTGTTACAGACGTTCTTGTTAAATGTGATGATATAACATATATTATAAACAGTTACCATGGTTCTTGTTAAATGTGATGATATAACATATATTATAAACAGTTACCATGGTTCTTGTTAAATGTGATGATATAACATATATTATACACAGTTACCATGGTTCTTGTTAAATGTGATGATATAACATATATTATACACAGTTACCATGGTTCTTGTTAAATGTGATGATATAACATATATTATAAACAGTTACCATGGTTCTTGTTAAATGTGATGATATAACATATATTATAAACAGTTACCATGGTTCTTGTTAAATGTGATGATATAACATATATTATACACAGTTACCATGTTCTTGTTAAATGTGATGATATAACATATATTATAAACAGTTACCATGGTTCTTGTTAAATGTGATGATATAACATATATTATACACAGTTACCATGGTTCTTGTTAAATGTGATGATATAACATATATTATAAACAGTTACCATGGTTCTTGTTATATGTGATGATATAACATATATTATATACACATATTACAGTTACCATGTTCTTGTTAAATGTGATGATATAACATATATTATACACAGTTACCATGGTTCTTGTTAAATGTGATGATATAACATATATTATACACTGTTACAAAATGTGATGATATAACATATATTATACACAGTTGATGATACATATATTATAAACAGTTACATGGTTCTTGTTAAATGTGATGATATAATATTATACATATATGTGATATATACATATATTATACACTGTTACAGACGTTCTTGTTAAATGTGATGATATAACATATATTATACACAGTTACCATGGTTCTTGTTAAATGTGATGATATAACATATATTATACACAGTTACCATGGTTCTTGTTCAATGTGATGATATAACATATATTATAAACAGTTACCATGGTTCTTGTTAAATGTGATGATATAACATATATTATACACTGTTACAGACGTTCTTGTTAAATGTGATGATATAACATATATTATACACTGTTACAGACGTTCTTGTTAAATGTGATGATATAACATATATTATAAACAGTTACCATGGTTCTTGTTAAATGTGATGATATAACATATATTATAAACAGTTACCATGGTTCTTGTTAAATGTGATGATATAACATATATTATACACTATTACAGATGTTGATATAACATATATTATACACTGTTACAGATGTTCTTGTTAAATGTGATGATATAACATATATTATACACAGTTACCATGGTTCTTGTTCAATGCGATGATATAACATATATTATACACAGTTACCATGGTTCTTGTTATATATTATACACAGTTACCATGGTTCTTGTTAAATGTGATGATATAACATATATTATACACAGTTACCATGGTTCTTTTTAAATGTGATGATATAACATATATTATACACAGTTACAGGTTCTTGTTAAATGTGATGATATAACATATATTATACACTGTTACCATGGTTCTTGTTAAATGTGATGATATAACATATATTATAAACAGTTACCATGGTTCTTGTTAAATGTGATGATATAACATATATTATAAACAGTTACCATGGTTCTTGTTAAATGTGATGATATAACATATATTATAAACAGTTACCATGGTTCTTGTTAAATGTGATGATATAACATATATTATACACAGTTACCATGGTTCTTGTTAAATGTGATGATATAACATATATTATACACCGTTACAGACGTTCTTGTTAAATGTGATGATATAACATATATTATACACTGTTACAGACGTTCTTGTTAAATGTGAAGATATAACATATATCATACACTGTTACAGACGTTCTTGTTAAATGTGATGATATAACATATATTATACACATTTACCATGGTTCTTGTTAAATGTGATGATATAACATATATTATAAACAGTTACCATGGTTCTTGTTAAATGTGATGATATAACATATATTATACACAGTTACAGACGTTCTTGTTAAATGTGATGATATAACATATATTATATAACAGTTACAGTTGTTAAATGTGATGATATAACATATATTATACACAGTTACCATGTTAAATGTGATGATATAACATATATTATAAACAGTTACCATGGTTCTTGTTAAATGTGATGATATAACATATATTATACACAGTTACCATGGTTCTTGTTAAATGTGATGATATAACATATATTATAACCAGTTACCATGGTTCTTGTTCAATGTGATGATATAACATATATTACACACTGACATGAAATGTGATGATATAACATATATTATACACTGTTACAGAGGTTCTTGTTAAATGTGATGATATAACATATATTATACACTGTTACAGACGTTCTTGTTAAATGTGAAGATATAACATATATTATACACCGTTACAGACGTTCTTGTTAAATGTGATGATATAACATATATTATACACTGTTACAGAGGTTCTTGTTAAATGTGATGATATAACATATATTATACACTGTTACAGACGTTCTTGTTAAATGTGATGATATAACATATATTATAAACAGTTACCATGGTTCTTGTTAAATGTGATGATATAACATATATTATACACAGTTACAGATGTTCTTGTTAAATGTGATGATATAACATATATTATACACAGTTACAGACGTTCTTGTTAAATGTGATGATATAACATATATTATACACAGTTACCATGGTTCTTGTTAAATGTGATGATATAACATATATTATACACTGTTACAGACGTTCTTGTTAAATGTGATGATATAACATATATTATACACCGTTACAGATGTTCTTGTTAAATGTGATGATATAACATATATTATACACAGTTACAGACGTTCTTGTTAAATGTGATGATATAACATATATTATACACTGTTACAGACGTTCTTGTTAAATGTGATGATATAACATATATTATACACTGTTACAGAGGTTCTTGTTAAATGTGATGATATAACATATATTATACACTGTTACAGAGGTTTTTGTTAAATGTGATGATATAACATATATTATACACTGTTACAGAGGTTCTTGTTAAATGTGATGATATAACATATATTATACACAGTTACCATGGTTCTTGTTCAATGCGATAATATAACATATATTATAAACAGTTACCATGGTTCTTGTTAAATGTGATGATATAACATATATTATAACAGTTACAAGTGATGATATAACATATATTTACACAGTTAACTTGTTAAATGTGATTATAACATATATTATACACTCTTACACCCGCACATATATTCCGCCAGAGGAATGTGATGATATACAAATTTGGTTACAGAGGTTTTTCATATATTATAGATAAAGAGCTAAGCGAGCCACTCAACCTGAAAACCTATCAGGAAAACAGGAAGTGTACCAACCCTCAATGCTTAAAGCTCAGCGCGTTGGATTTTTAACAACTCAAAGCCATTCCGTACTGAAATAAATACAGTTAAAAATGTAATACTTGGCAAAATTTCTCTTGACTGTACTTGTGGGTGTCCACGGCTAGAATGCCCGATACCTCGCCTACCCTTACACACTTTCTTAACTTGCACGTGCGGACAACGCGTCGCACTCCCATTGGACCATACAACTCTCACGAAGATACCCGAATACCGTACCTATAGGACAATTATTTTCCGCTATTCTCCGAAACGCGGAAAATATGAAATTCTTTAGCGTTACAATAATTATCGTAACAGTGGCAGTAAATGCATGTTGTCTTCTTGTATAGTTATGTAATATTTCGCTGTAGTGCTACAAGTATGCTAATTCAATTACAGTTATTGTATAGCCCTGTATTTCTAATTTTGTGATATCAATGTCTTGTCGTGTGGTATGTCATGATCCCTCCCGTTTTAAATCTTGCTATAGTGGTAATGTTGCACGAGATGTTATACTTGAAGTATAAATATAGCGTGTTATGTGATATATTAGAACTATAAGGGTTTAGTGCCGTGCCTAAGGACGCAACCATTTAAGTCCAGACCACTCCGTTTCTCATCTTTCTGAGAATTTTAAACCACCATGAATATGCAGCTTAGGACCACACAGAGTTATATATTAATCAGTATTAAATGTTATAGTGTTCTTTTGTTTATGTTTTAGATGTCGATTCCGCAGAGGCGGACTCATGCCGAGTTCGAATCCAATGCAGTCAAGTCCAACATCAAGGAACAGCGTCTGCTTGAGAAGAACATCAATATCCTCAATGTGGAAGAAACTTATGCCATGCGTATCCTTGACCTTGATAGTCGTGATATTAATACATACCGTAATAAAATGAATGAGCGGACGGCGAAAATCAAATCTCACCTCACAACTGTTGACATTATCAAAATGAAGGAGCTTGAAGCTGCTGGAAAAATGAAGGGAATCGGTAACAAAACAGTGTCACCTTCAGCAGCCATCCTGTCAGCAGCCGAAAAAAGACTTAATATAAAACCACGCCCAAAGACGTCTTTACCTGTCCGTCAATATCACAGTCGTAAAAACTCCCCGAATATCGAGGAAAATAGAAGCGATGACACTCTTAGTCAAGAGGAATCTCAACCACGTGATTATAAATATCGTTCATTAGTGAAGCAACCCTCACTTTCGAATCTCCATCAAGCGACTGCAAACGATTCTGCAGATCAAGAGTATAACACAACATGGGCTAGACCGTCTCCGAAACCTCGTAAGCGTCCAAATAGTTCTTTCGTTTCCTCCAGCCGTTATAGGAATGGTGATGCAGTCGACAAGGGGACATCGATTCCCTCACCTGTTGTAAAGAAGATTGTCATCCCAACGGCTGAAAATGCTGACGATACTGTTAGTGACATAGAGGAACTTCCAAATGATCAGGTGTTTATACCTTGCGAAGAAGATAATTCCCCTGTTGAGCAGGAAGTGTCTATTGAAAAACCAGCACCGCGTCAGAAATATCGCAAATTACCAATTCCAACAAAAAGACAAGAACGCGAAAACAAAGGCGAAGTACAGACCAAAACTGAAAAGTCAAAAAACCAATCACGCTGTCCTTATAAGGGTACACCGATGAAAGTGGTGCCTTCTGCCACTCCAGTGTCTATGGTATGTAATGATTCTACTGTAGGAGGAGGTCTACACAGAACATCCCGGCCAGGAAGTGGGATACCTGTGAAGAATGGCGACGTGAAGTACGAAAACAGAAGACCACAAACAGCGAAACCTGTTTCAAGCGAAGACAGGGCAATGGAGCACTTTCCTCGGTCTCACGATAGCAATGAAACGTCTCATACCTCGAATCGACCGAAAACTGCGAAAGTACCTCCTTCTCTTGGTTATGCTGAGATCCATCGCAATCGTCGCGTACGATCACCAGATCACAGTATGAACACTCACCATCCTAAAATTCATCAGAATAAACCAGACAACCGGGACGTCGTTCGAAGTGTGTCAAGGAAATTGCCAGTTCGTCCAGAAAGATCTCCAAGTACCAGGATTCCAATACGTCCAGTCACGGCCCATTCTCGGTCGGTAGAAATAGAACTAGAAGAATCTAGGCCTGTCCCACAGAGACGGCTTTCCCGTCCACGAACGGCGAAAGCAAACGTCAATCCAATGTATACTGGTGTTGAAAGTAAGCAGCATGTCCCTGAATATTCTACTCCGGAAAGCACGTCATCTCTTCCACCGCCTATCAGTCCTAGAGAATGTATAACATCCCATGTGGATTCGAAGTCGGCAGCCAGTGTATCATCGCCCCGACAATCACAGGATCCTTCATTACAATCCATGACCAATATACCTCGATACATTCCCATAGCTCCACAACAGAGGGCAAGCATCGTTCCACGCACTCCAAGAGTGTTGACTGTATCGTCTTCATCTAAACGAATAAATGCGTCTGTCGTAGACAGATTGAATGATTTTTCTAGCGTATTGCCGTATGCGTCATCAGGAAACAGTGTAACCAATCAAACTAATGAGATTCCTGCGATGTTACAAAGTCAACACTCATCAGAAACCCGCTCTTCTCAGATCACACAGCGTGTCCCAAGTCAGAAAATGCAGGTCACTAAATGCGATCAGGATTCTTTTTCTAGCAGTAACCACAATAACAAATCAATCGATCAGAACCATGATTCAATTGTTGACTTTTCAGGTAAACAAGACTCTAATGCCACCCATTACCAACAACCTAACCCGCAATTATCTATACCTCGGCCAGGTAGTGCAAGGCCACGTCGTCCCGCTCAAGCTAGCGGCCGATCGCTGCCTGAAGACGAAACTGTCAGTTCTGCCACGGAATTCCGTAATACTTTGAGCAGGACATATGACACACAAGAAGTCGTGATCAGTGCAAAACCTCCTCGACCATTGCAGAGACCGACTACTGCACGAACGCAGATCCCTGTTGGAGATCAACCTGTTGAGGCACGTGGCATTCCACGACCTCGAACAGCCAGGATGTTGCCTACAACACCACAACGTAAGCCGCAACTGGAGAAATACCCATCCCAAACTGAAACTGGACCAAGGACTATTGTGACAAAGGCTATTGTTCATTCTCCACGACCGCCGAGCGCTCCAGCAGAAAGTCGGATACGCGTGCCGGATGTCACAGAGTATGTTACCCATGATGCTTCAGTTCCAGTACCAAGCAGAATAGCTGTGCGCACAAAAACACCTAAAAAACCATCTTTGAATTTCCATTTTGATTCTCACAAAATTACAACACAGAAGAATAGTACTGAACAACAGGACACACTGCCTCCAAAAGTGTATTCTACTTTCGAAGAGGCAATGGCAGACTATTTAGAGCGTGCTGCGGCAGACAACATATTTAGCGAAAATGTGCTGAACGGATTTCGTAAAAGTCTCATCAAACTGGAGAAATTAAAATTCGCAAAGATAGAAGACAAAATGACCTTATTTCTAAATAAGATGGACGAATATTTAGAACGCTCAGGAAAAGTAATACCAGACTGGTTTAAACCACTTCGATTTAGAAAAACTGTTGAAGAACCCGTTGTGGTCACGTTTGATCCAGCTACTTACTTTAAAAACAGGCGGAAGTGTAAATATCAACACAACAAAGGTGCTTTTGAGCGACAGAACACAAAGGATACTGACCCGAACGTGACGTGGAATGGTATCAAAAAGTGTCGGTACCTCAGAATACCCAACGAAATGATTGATCATTCAGGAATGCGTACTCTTGGAACAGACCAGATTCAGCTAATGAAAACACTCAAAGGCATTGACTGAATGACGTCCAATTATTCTAGAGATAAATGAGTGTGCTTGAATATCAAATTAAGTGGCAAGTAATTGTTCTCATAGAGTGACTATGTTGTCTATAAGCCCCCTTATTAATTACAGTGATACTGTTAATCGTCATTGGAAACGGGTCGTGATTGTTCTTAAGTGTTAGAGAAAGACGTATTTATGTTTGTTTGAAAAGTTTCATTTAAAAAAACGATTTTTCTAATGATCGTTTTATTATCATTTTGTTAAATTATATACTTTTTTAACCCGTGTGTAAAGGATACCCTCTCACATGTACTGGTCTTTATCTATGTTAACGAGAAAATTTGCATTTCATAACCTAACTAACCGGTTTGAAATTAGTTATTATAATTGTCTCCCTTTCACCGTATTTCGTTTGAGTTACCGTATAAGTAAATTATAAGGGAGATAAATCTGTTACAGACAGGAAAAGAGAATAACGTCGTATTGTTCTACAACTAGATTCAAAAACTGAAATAAGGCAGCATGCACTAAAATATACAGTATTTATACATGACAAATAGTTATCATAGAAGTGGTACATGTAGTTTTAAGCTATTACTTCTGAGAACATGGGAGGGGACGGCAGGCTTGGTTATAGAGTTACTTGTCTATAGAAATCATTATCTATTAATCCTTTAATGCAAAGGAATATAAATGATAGAGGAAAAAACCATTCAAGAAGTGTTCGTGTCCCCTTCGTTAACAAAACGAGGAACTGGTGTTTAAGTGATGCTGCGTTTTGATGTCTATAATAAGTATTTACTAAACAATTAGTAATTAAGGCAGTAAAGAGTATGACATACTATATAATCTATATTTGTAGCTTCGCTTATCTAGTCTGTCTCCGTTTTATTGTTTTTCTATTATGGTTTGTTTTGTTTGTTCATCTATTTTTTTTTTTTTTTGTAGGACGGATGCACATCTAGTGCTACGTGTACCTACTTTATAAAATCTATAATGAAAGAATCGTCTTAACCTGCGGTATATTACTTAATAATCATCTCGTATACTTGTATACCAGGGATCAGAGCACACACACATACACACACACACACACACACACACACACACACACACACACACACACACACACACACACACACACACACACACACACACACACACACACACACACACACACACACACATACACAAACACACACACACACACACACACAAACAAACACACACACACACACACACACACACACACACACACACACACACACACACACACACACAACAAACAAACAAACAAACACGCACGCATGCACGCACGCAAGCACACACACAAACACACACACACACAAACAAACACGCACGCACGCACGCAAGCACACACACAAACACACACACAAACACACACACAAACACACACACAAACACACACACTTATAACCTCCATGATTAATCAACCTAATCTAACCTCAACAACCACAAAATAGTGGGCAAATCGGGATACAGCCACTCCCATGAAAGTGATACCACACCCCATGAAAGGGATATCACACCCCATGAAAGTGATACCACACCCCATGAAAGTGATATCACACCCCATGAAAGTGATATCACACCCCATGAAAGTGATATCACACCCCATGAAAGGGATATCACCCTATGAAAGTGATACCACACCCCATGAAAGTGATATTACAGCCCATGAAAGGGATATCACACCCCATGAAAGGGATACCACACCCCATGAAAGTGATATCACACCCCATGAAAGTGATATCACACCCCATGAAAGTGATATCACACCCCATGAAAGGGATACCACACCCCATGAAATTGATACCACACCCCATGAAAGGGATATCACATCCCATGAAAGTGATACCACACCCCATGAAAGGGATACCACACCCCATGAAAGTGATATCACACCCCATGAAAGTGATATCACACCCCATGAAAGGGATACCACACCCCATGAAAGGGATACCACACCCCATGAAAGGGATATCACACCCCATGAAAGGGATATCACACCCCATGAAAGTGATACCACACCCCATGAAAGTGATACCACACCCCATGAAAGTGATACCACATACATTAAAATACACTACCGCTTTCGTTCATCTCTGTCCAATTTGAACATATATATTGTTTGCCTGGAATAAACGCATTTTCTTTTTCTTACGAGAAATAATTTAGGATCCCACTCAAATTTCAGGATGGTGCCGTTCCCGAATTGGTTTCCTTTCATAGTTGAAGTAAACAGCACTAATTTGTCTGTAGAGTAAGTTTATAAATAAACACAATAACCAGATCTTGGACAAGAAAAAAAGGGAGGGGAAGGGGATCTTCAGAACATGAAATCTAGGTCCCAGTGACCTTCTTTATATATTTGATGGGAAGTTAACTTTATCATCACATTAACTAATTATTTTTGGTTGCAGTTACTGTTATTCTACTGATGAAGATTCTGACCTAACTAACTGAAACAAATAAATAAAACTTATCAGACCGATAGCCATCATTCACAGTTACAACGGTACTAGAAAACATGTTTAAATATGTTCATGTTGGTCAATAAGAGAAGATATTTCAATGCTTTAACAAGTTAATTAAAAACTAGCTCTAGACATTTATACAAGAATTATTGATTAGGAATGGCGAACTATTTTAGTATGAACCATTTGTTGACAGGAGAATAATGTTACTTTTGGGTTGAAAGTCTGAAATGACTTGATTGACTTGCAGTCACACGTGTCCTTAGTCATTACACTATAAGAATATGTGTAGCCTGCACAATGTCTTTCCTTATTTAACTCACAGACCCGCTTTGTCCAGTGCAAGTGGAGCGATAAACACTGCTCTTAGAGGCTACTCAGTGTTTCCGGGTTGATGGCTACAAACGCTGGGTAACTGTTAGTGGTGAATGGAACGGCCGTCTAGTTGATACAGACGTGAGAATAACAGGTCGATATATTGCAGGCAGCTGGTTTTGTTATGGATACCAGAATTCACAAATCGTGGCAATATTTAATTACATCGATACCTTATTTACTATAAACAAATGTGAATATAAGTTAATCAGGATGAAAGCTTCATAGTAACGACTTGGTCAATGTGAATAACAGACTCATTGAAAGAATGATTGTAATGTAATTTTGCGAAATTCTCTGACCGAAATATTTGATAAGTATCCATATGTTATCACTGGTGAGGGATTAAAGAATTAAAAACACAACGTTTTAAATGTTGCAGCTGCCACAGCACTCGGTATAAGTACTGGTACATTTCCTATCCTAAAGTTAGGTCTTGATATGTCTGATTCTATAATTCCGTATTGTCTTGTCAGATCCTGTAGTTTCCCAATGACGTGACTGATCCTATACATTGATACAGACGTGACTGATCCTATAGTTTGATATAGACATGACTTATCCTAGTTTGATATAGACATGACCGATCCTATGGTTTGATATAGACGTGACTGATCCTATAGTTTGGTATAGACGTGACTGATCCTATAGTTTGATATAGACGTGACTGATCCTATAGTTTGATATAGACGTGACCGATCCTATAGTTTGATATAGACGTGACTGATCCTATAGCTTGATATAGATATGACTGATCTTATAGTTTGATATAGACATGACTGATGAACCAATATTTTGATATAGACGTGACTGATCCTATACTTTGATATAGACATGACTGATCCTATAGTTTAATATAGTCGCGACTGATCTTAAAGTTTGATATAGACGTGACCGATCCTATAGTTTGATATAGACATGACTGATCCTATAATATAATATAGAGATGACTTATTATATAGTTTGATATAGACGTGACTGATCTTATAGCTTGATATAGACATGACAGATCCTATAGTTTGATATAGACGTGACTGATCTTATAGCTTGATATAGACATGACAGATCCTATAGTTTGATATAGACGTGACTGACCCTATAGTTTGATATGGACGTGACTGATCCTATATTTTTTATATAGACGTGACACATCCTATAGTTTGATGTAGACGTGACTGGTCCTATAATTTGATATAGACGTGACTGATCCAATAGCTTTATATAGATGTGACAGATCCACATGGTTTAATATAGACATGACTGATCCTATAGTTTGATATAGACGTGACCGATGCTATAATTTGATATAGACGTGACTGATCCTATAGTTTGATATAGAAATGACTGATTATATAGGTTGATATAGACGTGACTGATCCTATAGTTTAATATAGATATGACTTATCCTATAGTTTGATATAGACATGACTGATCCTATAGTTTGATATAGACGTGACTGATACTATAGTTTAATATAGATATGACTTATCCTATAGTTTGATATAGACGTGACTGATGAACCAATAGTTTGATATAGACGTGACTGATCCTATACTTTGATATAGACATGACTGATCCTATAGTTTAATATAGTCGCGACTGATCTTAAAGTTTGATATAGACGTGACCGATCCTATAGTTGGATATAGACGTGACCGATCCTATAGTTTGATATAGACATGATTGATCTTATAATGTAATATAGAGATGACTTATCCTATAGTTTGATATAGACGTGACTGATCTTATAGCTTGATATAGACATGACAGATCCTATAGTTTGATATAGACGTGACTGACCCTATAGTTTGATATGGACGTGACTGATCCTATATTTTTTATATAGACGTGACACATCCTATAGTTTGATGTAGACGTGACTGGTCCTATAATTTGATATAGACGTGACTGATCCAATAGTTTTATATAGATGTGACAGATCCACATGGTTTAATATAGACATGACTGATCCTATAGTTTGATATAGACGTGACCGATGCTATAATTTGATATAGACGTGACTGATCCTATAGTTTGATATAGCAATGACTGATTATATAGTTTGATATAGACGTGACTGATCTTATAGCTTGATATAGACATGACAGATCCTATAGTTTGATATAGACGTGACTGACCCTATAGTTTGATATGGACGTGACTGATCCTATATTTTTTATATAGACGTGACACATCCTATAGTTTGATGTAGACGTGACTGGTCCTATAATTTGATATAGACGTGACTGATCCAATAGCTTTATATAGATGTGACAGATCCACATGGTTTATTATAGACATGACTGATCCTATAGTTTGATATAGACGTGACCGATGCTATAATTTGATATAGACGTGACTGATCCTATAGTTTGATATAGAAATGACTGATTATATAGGTTGATATAGACGTGACTGATACTATAGTTTAATATAGATATGACTTATCCTATAGTTTAATATAGTCGCGACTGATCACATAGTTTGAATAGACGTGACTGATCTTAAAGTTTGATATAGACGTGACCGAAACTATAGTTTGATATAGACATGATTGATCTTATAATGTAATATAGAGATGACTTATCCTATAGTTTGATATAGACATGACTTATCCTATAGTTTGATATAGACGTGACCGATCCTATAGTTTGATATAAACGTGACTGATCCACATTGTTTAATATAGATGTGACTGATCCTATAGTTTGATATAGAAATGGCTGATTATATAGGTTGATATAGACGTGACTGATCCTATAGTTTGATATAGACGTGACTGATCCTATAGTTTTTTATAGACATGACTTATCCTATAGTTTTATATAGACATGACTGATCCAATAGTTTTATATAGACGTGACTGATCCTATAGTTTGATATAGACATGACTGATCCTATAGTTTGATTTAGACATGACTGATCCAATAGTTTTATATAGACGTGACCGATCCTATAGTTTTATATAGACGTGACTGATCCTATAGTTTGATATAGACGTGATCGATCCTATAGTTTTATATAGACATGACCGATCCTATACTTCGATGTAGACATGACAGATCCAAATGTTTTATATAGACGTGACACATCCTATAGTTTAATATAGATATGACTTATCCTATAGTTTGATGTAGACGTGACCGATCCTATAGTTTAATATAGACATGACTGATCCTATAGTTTTGTATAGACGTGACTGGTCCTATAATTTGATATAGACGTGAATGATCCAATAGTTTTATATAGACGTGACAGATCCACATGGTTTAATATAGACATGACTGATCCTATAGTTTGATATAGACGTGACCGATCCTATAGTTTGATATAGACGTGACTGATCCTATAGTTTGATATAGACATGACTTATCCTATAGTTTGATATAGACATGACTAATCCTACAGTTCGATATAGACATGACTGATCCTGTAGTTTACTTTTGACATGACTGATCCTATAGTTTGATATAGACGTGACTGATCCTATAGTTTGATATAGACATGACTTATCCTATAGTTTGATATAGACGTGACCGATCCTATAGTTTGATACAAACGTGACTGATCCATATTGTTTAATATAGATGTGACTGATCCTATAGTTTGATATAAAAATGGCTGATTATATAGGTTGATATAGACGTGACTGCTCCTATGGTTTAAGATAGATATGCCTTATTCTATAGTTTGATATAGGCGTGACCGATTGTATGGTTTGATATAGACGTGACTGATCCTATAGTTTGATATAGACGTGACTGATCCTATAGTTTTTTTAAAGACATGACTTATCCTGTAGTTTTATATAGACATGACTGATCCAATAGATTTATATAGACATGACTGATCCTATAGTTTGATATAGACATGACTGATCCAATAGTTTTATATAGACGTGACCGATCCTATAGTTTTATATAGACGTGACTGATCCTATAGTTTGATATAGACGTGATCGATCCTATAGTTTTATATAGACATGACCGATCCTATACTTCGATATAGACATGACAGATCCAAATGTTTTATATAGACGTGACTGATCCTATAGTTTAATATAGATGTGACTTATCCTATAGTTTGATGTAGACGTGACCGATCCTATAGTTTTATATAGACGTGACTGATACTATAGTTTAATATAGACATGACTGATCCTATAGTTTTGTATAGACGTGACTGGTCCTATATTTTGGTATAGATGTGACTGACTGTATAATTCCGTCATGAAAGTTGAAAATGACACACATATATCAAAACTTACATCAAATAGGAATATAAAAAATACACATTAAGTAAAATGACATTTTTATTATTATTAATACATAGGGTTTATGTTAGTGTTATGTATGATGTGTTGATTTTGATTAGTGTGTACACCATTACCAACTATTTCAGTCAAGCATGCTTACTGTTTTTCATACATGTATTCGTCATAAACAAGGAAATGTATATTAAAAAATGGCTGTCCTGATATCTGCATCAAAATATTATTCATGTTCACGATGATAATGTGTTATAAAGACCCATCACCGTTTATCCCTTCACTACGTAAACATATGTATGTGCTGGAGATGAGTTCAACATCAGCAGGACATGTGTACCTATTTGTACCGACGTCAGCAGGATATGTGTACATGTTTGTACATCGACGTCAGCAGGAAATGTATACATGTTGCATTGTATATTTTGTACATCAACGTCAGCAGGACATGTGTACCTATTTGTACCGACGTCAACAGTTTATGTGTTTATGTTGAATTGTATATTTTGTACATCGACGTCAGCAGGATATGTGTACGTATTTGTACCGACGTCAACAGTTTGTGTCCAGGTTTGTGCCGACGTCAACAGTTTATGTGTACCTGTTACACTTATTTATTTCGGACACTTACGTCAACAGTAAAATTGTATACGACATGAGTAGCAGCAGTTCTAATAATACTATATGATTCTGTGATATATCCCTTGAGTTAACAATCGCCGTTTGTCGGCAGTGGTTTAACATAAAGGGAAGACTGTGGATATAACTTTGTATTACAGTGCGTATTCCTGGTATCCTAAGATATCACTTCACCAGCTTAGACATAAGGACGAGTGTCCAAGTGAAGGTTACATGTGCAAGTATATAGACACAGATCGACAATGGTGTGCAGAACCCCTAGTCTTCTGATTAGCTTAATTGTTCTAATGTCCATTTTCACAATAGACTAATACTCTATAAATGCACATGTTTTTTTTATCCAACATTTTGCCGTTGTAAAGAATTTGGATTGATCAACAATCAAGTTACCTACTCAATAACGTAACGTGACATAAGAACGTCATATAATCTACATCTGCGGCATTAAGCCACCGCCTGCCCATCGCGGTCTTTGAGCATTTGATAAAGCTTCACCTGACGTTTGGCTAACGTATCTACCCCAGAGATATCTATCCTCTCGTCCGGCATCCTTAGGTACCGACACTTGTTCAAATCTTGCCACAGTTCTAACATTTTCTGTTTGTAGACCTCTTCATTTGAAAATGAAGTGGCCATATTAAGACGTGACCTTCCCGGAAGTAGTCTCTTTTTCGGTTTGGGTCTAATACTAGGTATGTCGTCCTCCTCGTCATCGACTTCCTCTTCTCGTTCGACCGTGCTATCCGGAAACTCGAAGTGTGCCATCGCGTTTGACCAGTCAGGTGATGGGTTTGCTGCGATGTACTCATTCAGTCTCACCATGAAATCGTCTTTTCTTTCTTGGAGAGATTTATACCGGAGTTCCTCCTCCAGCAGCATCTCTTGACGCCGCTCCTCATACAAGTCTTCTCCTAGATTGCTATCTATCGAATCGTCAGAGAAACAAGCGATTGGCGCCGGAGCTGTCTGCACGCGTGCGTCTTTCTCGACGGCAGTGTGCGAGGAGTATAAAGAGTGAGACGGCATGGCCGTTGTGGTAGGTGATCTTGGGGGCTGTCCGGAAGGACGATTTGCCGTTTGAGGACGCGCCCGTTTTATAGAATTTTCACAGGCCACAGCGTTTACCGCGCTTGAAGGTCGGCCACCATCAATTGAGTTCCGTCGTTTTTGTAACACTGGCTCCGGAGCATCAATGAAAGCCCCTGTTACAGAGTTACTCCGACCGAGCCTTGGTGGCATTGTATCGGGGCGGGGTGTGCCATTCTTACTGTCCATAGCCGTGATAGGGAATGGATACACACTCACAGCACGTGGGGACTGTCCTTGAAGTTTGAGTCTTTTTGCGGCTGCCGCGATCTTGAGCGCACTACTCAAGTTCACCGTATTGCTGTACGACTTCAGCTTACCTTTTGCGTCTAAGTCCTTCAGTGTGGTGATTTCATCGGCATTTAGGTTTGATTTTATGCGCGACACTTTGTCCTTGAGGCGTTTATAATTAACTTTGACAATCCTGTGATCAAGGTTCAACAATTTTATCGAATAGTCCTTCTCTAGCTGAAGCGTCTGCATGGACTTCTCGAGCGTTCTCTGCTGCTTCAACTTGTACCGGATGACGGCCTTCTCGTGGTCGTTATCAAGTCGTCGCTGTCCAGACATGACGCCGGTCAGGTGATCAACTCAAAATCTGAAACATATGGATATCAAAGATGAATTACTCAATTACCGTGTCGTAAGTTGGACCCCTAGACCAAAACTCATTAAATGCACGCATATCGGCGTATTCCAAAATATTCTGACTATTTCCCCTAGGTTTTATATTTGTCATTATCACGATCGGTGACCAAAATTCCTTCATGTATGAAAACGCTGAGTTTTACCGACCCTTACAAAGTTTGCATTTGTGCAATTTTTTAATTATTTTTTACTGAGAGATATTTATAAATTTTAAACATGAAATACATTTTTATCTATGCCTGTGATAAGTCATTTATTGACTTCCCCGACAACCACAGTTTCAAGCATATTTTGAAAATGGCCGCCAATCTTTTGCAAGTTTACTTTTTGATAGGTTCAGTACGACAATGCGCGTGAGATTTAGAGATTGGCGACCAAATATGCTTGAAACTTGTGTTGTTGGAGGCAAATGTTGGTATTCTTGTATTCATTTAAGATTTGTTATCAAAACATTCAAGTGTCCGTGGCGTGGCTATATTTCACAGTTCATGTCCAAATATAGCAAATTTATGATGACTTTGTACGGAACAATACAACATTCAGGTCAATCAATCTCACTAGAGGAAAACCTTGAGTGGGTGAAATGTACACGGTCAGGTAATTCTAGTACATAATGGTTTAGAAATGTCAAGACAAGCTATTCTCAATAATATATCCCGACCACTTCCCTTTTTTCTGTGAATATCTTCAAACATTTCTCTTACACCCACTTGTCATTGAACAGTACTCTGCTATATATCGATGTACCATACATCTGTAATACTCATAAATACTGCCTATATAGTTAACACGGACAGTATACTAATACAATTCTGTTGATTGTTAGGTACCTACAGTGATATATCGTAGTGTCAATATTTACCCTCCATTTACTACACATACATTTTACTTGTATTACCGAGTGATTCATTTTCAATGCTAAGTATGTATTTGTTCACACTGGTTGGGAGAATATCCTGCGATGAACACTTTAGGGTGTTGACAGATTCTTCCCTAACAATAACAGCACTTTAGAACATAAATGTACCCTGGAAACCGGCTATGACTGTGTAGGTTAAGGCTTTAGCAGTTTGATAGAGAGTGAGGATGTGCTATTATTGAAGTTCAGCCATTGATGACACCCAATCATTTGTCATTAAATCAATCATTCACTTCTAGCAATTTAACCGTGTTTTAACCGTTCGTTTCTGATATTTTAATGCCATCCAGAATGTAATACGTTTGTTAAACCTACATAAAAACTAGAAATCACTCCGTCATAACGAACCTCGGGCTACTGAGAAATAACTTCGTTATAACGAACATCGGGTAATATAAAAATCATTTCGTCATAACGAACATCGAGCTACAGAGAAATAACTTCGTGATAACGAACATCGGGCTAGCTAGAAATCACTTCGTCATAACAAACATCGGGTTACAGAAAAAATAACTTCGTTAAAACGAATCTCATGATTATAAAATCTCTTCTTAATAACCGTAATCCGTAATAACGTTGCAAAGAATCATGGTTCAAAGAGGCGAAATGTCCTGCTAAAGGAATAACCCAACTCATCAAAATATCCCACGTATGATATATAAAATCATTTAAATGTAACTAGTGTTATTATCTACATGTAGACATAATCATGATATGCATTTTGTTAACAATTATATATCCATGTATGATAAAACATGTATATAGTTCCATAATGATATTTCAGTGAAATGTTTTTAAAAGTTTACTTACCCCATCTAGGGGCTAACTAATGAGTAAAAATTAGCTAAACAAAAATGAATGATCGAACGAACAAATGGATTGATTTGTTCTATAACAATGAACAAATAAATAAGGGTTCCCATGCCAAGTACCATTCCGAGAGTACAATATTATAAACATCAGCAGCAGATGTAACTTTACTCTATCTAATAATTACACTACAATTAATCAACGTTTAAACAGCTGATACAGAGTTTATCGAAATTCTAAACAAAAGTAAATAAACCACACAGGACAACTGTGCAGATATGATATATCGTAACATTTTGAATTCCTATACATTACCGGCCTTGTGCCAGGACAAAGTATCTCTACTTGATGTCAACCTTGTCAGAGGATTTTCACACGAGATATATAAACGATACCGTTAGTTAAGCGGTTTGTGAAATAGTTTGTCTTTTAGACTTTTGTGCGGTCTATAAATTGGTACCTTGTTACACAATCCTAGTTTCTACTACACGGACACTATCAACTTTCGCTCTTACATGTCACAATTATCTGACTCACCGATTACAAACGACTTCACTAACCATACAATGAGTACGTCATACTTGTTTATGTGAAATGATTACATATGTAATACTAAACCACAAGTGATCAATATAGAAAATATATGAAAATTTGTGGGTTTTTATATTTTATTTTGCACAAACATATAACCCAGAGCTATCAATATTATCATTACAATGATCGTGTTTGTTACCCACGAGGCTTCGATATATTATAAAAATTCACACTTACTACACACGTATAATGAAGTACAGATATGCACCGTAGTGTATATTTCATTAAAACGATAAATGACTAGCTGTCTGTTCTGTAATTATTTTAAAATCAATTTACTTTTTTTTTCGTTAACATTTGTATAGAACATTAGATACGTTTTGTATAAGTAATATATCTATGTAGTCTATTAACTGGCATCTGATTAACCGGTAATCAGAATTTACTGTACGTCCATAATTACTTTATTTATGTCTCAACATTGTCGATTATTAAATTGTCCTGGTGTATATCTTCCCGTCCGTCGCCACACGGTTCAGAGAGTACGGTTGGTAACAGATGTTTGTACCGATATACGATTAGTACCTATATTCTATTGAATGTATTTGGTGATTGATTTTCATCTCAAGGTAATTAAATGTAAACAAAATGAGATTTGGGAATACAAATTATTTAAAATGTCAGGATTACACATGTCGGCACTCGTAAAAAGACCTTAAAAATACCATTTAAGAATGAAAAAATTGGCGTTTGATTATAGAAATAGAACGGAGTGGATACAATTACAGAGCGCATAAGGTAGAGTTGGCCTTTTTCTTTAACAATGGCCATTAAGGGTGAATTATAGCTGTAGAGATCTTAGATAGCAAGGCTAATGCTATTCCTTTCAATATTATGTTTGTATACATGTATAGTCCACGTCTAATTTATCTACATGTATACACCAAAGTCAATCGCCTTCAGGAATCATACATGTGCCATTTTTCACTTTAAGGATTTCTCAACCTTCATGTGCCTGCAATTTTAAAGTCGTTCAATGAAGAAGAAAATTGCATTTGAATATGTTAAATAAACCTGCATAATTGATGTTGTGTGTACATGATGTCGCAGCTATCGTTATTGTTGTAAACCTGTGTCATATCAATTATAAATTTAATCAAAGATGGATGTCAGATTTTCACCTTAAAGATTTTTAGAGTATCATAAAAATCTGTTAAAATCTTACCGTATCAATAACTTGTCTACTTCTAATGTTGGTTTCATTACGAGCTTGTCACCATGTCATAAACACAAGGCTGTTTTATCCCACAGATATGAATACTCTACAAACAGGATCATCTTCTAATCCATCCAACGTTCAGTATAAAGCTGTTCCAAGAAAGTCCAGTACTTGTGGCAGATATAAATGTTCAGATGAATCGGACGTGTCTCTAGAAAGCATGACGACCTAACAATTAAAAATAGTTCTTGGCTGAAAATAATGAGTGTGATAACTGTACGCAATGGGCCATTACGACCAGAGTGGCTCGCGAGAGGGATAAGCACAACAACCTGTAAAACCAAACATACTCTCACTCCTTAACGATAATTCGTTCTCGTGTCAGAGGTGGAAACCTTCCACGCTTGTTTAAATGCGCCAATTATCGATCTTCCTATGCCGGACATTCTTCCAATCGATTGGTAGCAAGACAAAGATAATGGAAGACGTACCTGTAAGAGCGAAGCCGCTTGAGAGAGAACTTGAAAGGGTGACCATTGTCTCCGGGGCGGTTTTGCCGATCACTAATATACACACGAATAGTACACACCGTTGTTAGACATTACTAGACGTCCAGTTACAAAAGGATTTAAAGTTTTCAGAATGACATATTGACACAGAGATATTATCTGCTGTGGGCAAAGCCTGTTGGTTTTCAATTTCGTTTCTTGTCTGATTAGGTGTTTTGAGCACTAGTGTTTTGTTAAACTATAAACTTGAGTCCTAACGTTCCGCCTACTACTAGAGAATCCCGGAGACGACCTCCGATTTAGGTATGTCCTACCACCCCGTCCGGCGAGACTTTATCGTACAAATATTGACAAGTATCGCCATGTCCGTCGAATATAGATTGATATTGGAGATCCATTTCTAGTATCTAGACACTATCATATATTTGTCAGTGGTGTCAACAAAATGGTGTCTGCCCCAACACTTAACGTGACAAGATCCACAAAGTCGGTCGTCCTCACAAACTCAATCTTTACACACCCAGATGTTCCGCGATACATCGGATCTAGTTCTGCTATCGACATCAACCAGATGTTCCGCGATACATTAGAACTAGTTCTGCTATCGACATCAACCAGATGTTCCGCGATACATTAGAACTAGTTCTGCTATCGACATCAACCAGATGTTCCGCGATACATTAGAACTAGTTCTGCTATCGACATCAATCAGATGTTCCGCGATTCTGCTATCGACATCAACCAGATGTTCCGCGATACATCGGATCTAGTTCTGCTATCGACATCAATCAGATGTTCCGCGATACATTAGAACTAGTTCTGCTATCGACATCAACCAGATGTTCCGCGATACATCGGATCTAGTTCTGCTATCGACATCAACCAGATGTTCCGCGATACATCGGATCTAGTTCTGCTATCGACATCAATC